TACAAAACTACATAACTACACAACTACACACCTACAAAACTACATAACTACACAACTACACAACTACACGCACACACCTACACAGACATCGACTGCCATGCCTGCCATGGATCGTGCGCCGAATGCACAGGGCCCGGCAGTACCCAATGCACCGCCTGCCCGGCCGGGACCTTCCTCCTGGACGGCGCCTGCCTGGCCAGCTCGCCGGTCAGTGTGACCGTCCGCCCGGACACCGCGGACCCCCTGGCGCCGGTGTACTTCCAGGCCTCCGAGCGCCTGACCACGGCGGCCTACCTGCGCGTGGCGGTGGCCAGCCTGGACTCGGCCTCCGGCGCCGGGTTCCTCTTCGACCACCTGCAGGCATTTGGCTTCCTCCACCGGGCGGACGCTACACCGAGCCCCGGCCCGGTGGAGGGCCTGCTGACGGCCTTCTCCACGGCGCACGTCATCCGCGCGGTGCCGGCCCCCGGCGACACCGGGCACTTTGCCCTGCACTCGAGCCCGGCCCCGGGCCAGGTGGACCTGGTCTTCCGCCGGGCGGCCGGCCCCCCCGGAGCCCCGGCCACCCTGCATGTGCCCCACCGCCAGGGGCAGCTGCTGGAATGCCTGTCCCCCGACCGGGACCCGGCGCCCGGGTCCCACGTGTGCGATCTCCTGCGCGGCATGCCGCACCAATTCACCCCGCTGCACTTTGCGCGGCCGGCCCCGGGGCGGGCCTTCCCCGGGGCCCTGCCGGCCCTCGGGGCCCGGTCCCTGACCCCGGCCGGGCGGCACTTCCGCTATGGCGCCTGGCACCCGGTGGACAACCGCCACGGCCGCGACCGGTGGGTGGTGGCCTCCTCCGAGGGCCCGGCCGATGCCCGGTGCCAGTACCACTGGACGGCCCTGCTGTCGGAGGAGCCGGCCACCGGCTCGCACCCGGCCGGCACCCTGTCCACGGACTTCCTGCCCCTGGGCCCGGGGGTCGGCGACCGGGCCCTGCCCTGCGGCCAGATGCACTCCCTGCCGCAGGACCCCGCCGGCCGGGCCCCGCCGGCCATGCTGCTCTCGGTGGAGGATGCCCCCTCCGCCGGGGCCGAGGCCCTGCTGTACCTGTGGCGCGCGGCCGCGGAGCCGGGCCACGCGCCGGCCGCCGCCCCGCGCATGGACCAGCTCCTACCGGTGCTGACGGCCGCCGACCTGGCGGCCCCGGCCGGCAGCAATGCCGCCCCGGTCTTCCGGCTGGTGGTCGTGCAGCACACCCTGCGCCATGACCATGCGGATCTCTTCTTCTGGGACGGCCAGTGGGCCTACTCGGCGGTGCTGGCCCTGGCCCCGGGCGGGTCGGTCGGGCTGGTGGTCCAGCCGCTGGTCCCGCGCCGCGTGCAGGACATCACCCACCTGGCCGGCACCCACCGGCTGAATGTGCACCTGGTGCCGGTGGATGTCGATGGCGATGGCCGGCCGGAGGTGGCCCTCCTCCGGTCGGACACCGGCGAGGTGGTGCTCTTCTCGGCGGCCGGCGAGCACAACGCCTGCGGGGCCGGGCGGCTGGGCTCGTGCAAGGCCCAGCGCCCGGCCTGGGCCCCGGCCGAGTGCGCCCCGGCCGAGCCCTGCACCTGGAAGCCCACCACCCTGCTGGCCGGCGACCTGGCCGACTGCCGGGCCGGCGTGGCTCTGCCCGATGGCACCCCCTGCGGCCTGTGCGAGCCGGATGTGCATGGTGCGCTTGGCCGGTCCATTCCGGGCGACGTCCCCGTGGCCCCCGTGGCCCCCGTGGTCCCCCCCCCTCGCCCCCTCTCGCCCCCTCTCGCCCCCCCTCGCCCCCCTCCCCCCCCCCCCCCCCCTCGCCCCCTCTGATTGCAGATAACTCGGTCCTCCGATTCTTCGTGCCCAACATTATTCTCAGCAAGTCCTGTCTCTGGCGCTTGAGCATCCACCTGCCGCGCTTCCATCTGACCTTCGACCAGTTCGTGCGTAACCTCCCCCCACCCCCCTCCCTCTTCCTCCGAAAAGCAATACATCCCTTGCACGCTTGCCACATGCACATGGGGCCCCGCACTGACATCCCGCCCGTCCCTCCCCAGCACTGCTACGCCGAGGAGTTCCCCCCAATCAAGGTTTTGCTGGAGTTCCTCCTCCGCCGCGCCAACTCCCGGCCGTATGTGATCAATCTCCTCCGGCACTACATCACCCAGAACGTCCGCCTTGAGGTGATTGGCGAGCTCTTCGACTTGATCAATTACGTGGCTCAGCAGTATTACCATGAGAAGTGCGCCACGCCGTCCCCTCCCCCGTCTTCTCTCTCTCTCTCTCTCTGCCTTTCTCGCTCCCTCCCTCCCTGCCCCTCCGGACCGGCTTCTCACCCTTCCCTCTGCCCGCCTTGCGATCTCCAACAGCGCTCTCCGCCGCGCCGTACACACGGTCAACCAGCGGATGGAGTCTTCGCTGCCGCGTGCTCCGCAGCTCCCCGCCCAGCCTTCTCCCTCACAACAAAGTGCCCTGCTGACGGCCCACACGCCGGATATCCCATCACCACTGTCGATGTCATCCGGTGGCAGTCGCAGCGGCAGCGGCGGTGGCAGCGGCAGCGGCAGCGCCTCCGGCCTCCCGGGCAGCAGTACATCCCCCTTCCGGTCTGGCAGCGGCTCTGGCGCCGGCACGGCGATGCCCTCCGGACGACCCATCCAATTTATGCCATCTCCCTTTGGGGGCCCAGGGTCACCGGTTCAACGGCGCTCTCTGTCCACCATCGGCCGCTCCATCAGCCGGAACTCCACGCTCCTTTCGGAGCCCACCACGCCGACGCCCAGCACCAATGGCAACCATTCCTCCCCGGCCGGTGGCGAGGTGTCCCCCTCGCCCTCGCTCTCGCCCTCGCCTTCGCGGTCGCCGACGGCCGCGCAGCTGGTGGCCAGGCAGCGCGTGTCGCCGGCCGGCGGCCCGGTGGGCTTTTTGACCCCGGAAAAGGGGTCCAGTGTCTTGTCATTGAACCTGCATGCGGAGCCGCCGTCGCCCTCTTCGCAGACCATTGCCTCGGATTTGCGCCTCGTGGCCCAGGGGGTTGGGGATTTGACCTCCTCTAACGTCACCCGGGCAATCTCCTCCGGGGTGACGCCCCTGCCGAACCCGGTGGCCAGTCTCATTGCCTCGGACCTGGAATCCGGCCCGCAGCCACCATCGCCCTTCGACGAGCCGGTGGTCGAAACCCGGAACCTGGAGGGATCGCTGGTGCTGAGCCAGGAGGACCTCTTCCGAGATGTGTTGCGTTTCCTGGACACCGAGGCCGGCGGGGCCGGGCAAATGGCCGATCCGGTGGCCGAGCAGCGCCGGACCACCTTCTATGCGGCGGTGCTGCTGGAGCTCAACCGGTCCTTGCGAACGCACAATCTGACCATCGAGCACTCGACGTCGCTGGCCCTGCTGGATGCGCTGGTCCGATCGGGGCAAATGAATGAGCTGACCCAAATGCTCCAGTACATGGCGCTGCCCGATTCGGAGCCGCTGGCCGGGCGCCTGCTGTCGCTGGCGCCCCGGCATCGGCCGCTCTTCCAGATGGCATTGGATATTTACAATCGCCTCGGCCGACAGGATCTCATCATCCAGGTCCTCATCGCCAAGGGACGCCTCGCCGAGGCCCTGCGCTTCGCCGTGAAGCATGCTCACCGGCTCTTCCCCAACCAGCTTGACCCGAAGGGCGTGGTGGCCGGGTACTTCGGGGGCGAGCCTCTGGCCTTGTCCACCACCAGCCTCGGGGAGTCCCTGCCGCAGATCAGCTTCAATCCGTGCATCCTGCTGGATGCCGCGGTGGCGGCCATCGCCGAGGCTCGTGAGGACCTCCAGCGCTTCCGCCAATTCGAAGCGGCCGAACGCGCAGCCATGCTGGCCGGGGAGCCGCTGCCGCCGGCGCCGGTCCCTCCGGCTCCGGCTCCTGGGGCGGACCCTGTGACCCCCGATGCGGCGGCCCGGCTGCTCAACCCGATGGTCCTGAAGCGGGCCCTCATGGATGCGGAGATGGTCTTCTTTAATGCCTGGGAGTTCACCGAGCGCCTGGCTCTATCCAATCCGTCGATCGCCTTGCAGCTGAAGGTTTACAAGAACTACGAGCAGATGGTCAAGGAGATTTTCAGCCCGCGGCCGTCCTCATGAGCAACAGGGGGCGAGGCTAGCAGGAAAGGCCGCGCCTCGGGTTCTTTTTTCTTTTTTCTTTTTTTTTCTTCCTGCTCCCCGAGTCTGCCAGAGCGCGCATGTGCGCCAGACAATAGATCACCCGCCAGAGGGGGGGAAATCAGCGTGGCCGGTCCATGCCCGGCCGCCATGCTTTCCCCCATCGGGAAGCTTGTTTGGATTTCATGTGTATTCAAAATGTGGAATGCGGAGATGTCGCCGTGTGCATGACCGAGGGGGGG